TTTTTCTCTCTCTCTCCTTTTGGATCTCCATGTCTTTAGTTTGGCTTCCTAATAATTGGATTTTTTTTCTTTATTGATTAGGTATCTAGCAAAGCGTCATAGGGTCCCACCTTGATCTTCTTTCATTCAGTTTTGAGGTATGTTAGTATTCATCAAATGGGGTCTTTAGATCATTAGAGGTGTTAGGTCTCTTTAAGGTCAAGGAATCATCATCTTATACTTGTTTTTTGTCCCCAAAAAATGATCATATGATCTTTTCATTGTTTGATGGAATAAAATAAAACACAGTTGATTTTTTTTGTTTTTTTTAATGTTTTGGGTGGCATCTTTTTTGATGAAGTGGTACATGCTTGATTTGTAGGAGTTGACAGATGAAGATCGAGAAGCAAAGATGGAATGATTTGGATCTTTTTGTGTTTTTTTTTTAAAGATTTTGTTTGAATAGAAAAACATATAAGATCCATCAATAATGAATCAGAAACTTGTGAAATGAGTACAACAGATTTAAGATTATAATGCATGCATAACATAGCATTGGAGTAAATCTAGTTTTATAGTATGATATGCAAAATTAAATTGTGTTTACTATCAATTATACCATAATTGGAAATGAACTTATTATGAATTGTATCCTTGTTTAATCAGCTTGCAATGACGATGTGTGATGAGATTGAGTTGTCAGAAGATTGAAGCAAAAGCTTTGTTATGTTTGCAAAGAATTGCAGAAACTTGAATAAGCTTCTATGTCTTTGTTGACTTTTTCTTTTGGTGTTGATGGCATTAAAGCCTCAAGGCATGATATACAGAGTGTTCTTTTTATAACATAGAAACCCATTTGTATTATTATTGATTTCATGTTTTTTTGTTCATCTCAAACCCGAAAATGTTGAATCACAGTAATTGCAAAGTCAATGTATTTGATTCGGATTTGTTTAGGGGTTGTTTTGGTTGATCCTCGATTACATGATGATCATTAATCATTTGATGTTATTTATGTCAAAATGGTCATTATAAATTAATAAAAATAAGCTTTTATGGTAAAAAACAAATAAGCCAAAATATATAAACATGTTTTTTTTTTTTTTGAGTAAATTACACGGATAGTCCCTATGGTTTGTGTTAGTTTTCATGCTTGGTCCATAACTTATTTTTTGTAGCTTGGACCATCACTATTGTTTGTTTTTGCTATGTGCCTAGTACACCTAAAAAGACAATATTGCTCTTAATACTTATTTTTGTTTTTTTTTGTATTTATTAATTTTATTAAAAAAATAGAAATATACAGGACTTTCTTTTCTCCTACCCTGTACCCAAAGACGTGAAAACAAGTCTCGTTTCTTGCCCTTTTCCGGTCGGCGTTCCCATCCTCCACCACCACCCACCCCTCTTCCTCCTCCCTTCTCCCTCTTCATCGGAAACCTGCATCCCACCTCATATTTTCTTTCCCTACACATATAGAAGACCATAAACATGCATCTCTTGTTCCTATAGAACTACAACAACATTCTTGTTCCTTCATACACATACACAAGGTCATCAGAACCCTACACCTGCGCCGATTTATGTATTCAGACATTGAGTCCTACATAGACGTTGATTTGTAGATCCACACCACCACCAATTTGTATATATGACCACCGATTCATCCCCCACACACCGATTCATCAATGAAAACGATGGGATAAACAACTATCATTAACCCAACATCACCGATATTGCCAATCTCATTCTTTCTCTGTCTTAATTCACTACCTCTCGTCTAGGGTCCTTGCCGCCCCTATTCTCCTTGACTTGAAAAAGCTCCTAATTTGAGGTAATACTTGTCAATTTCATGTTTTTAGGTTAGCGATGGTAGAAGAGAAAGGGCGTTGGTCGGAATTTGGAACAGAGGATGAGGGGTGACCACGTCGAAATGTTTGAAATTGAAATGAAACCCTAAATTAGAAATCAAAATGTTTGAAACTACATCTAAGAAGAAGATCAATGAAGCAGAAATTATTTGAGACCCCATATGAGAAGCAGATCGACAATGGTATCCAAGTTCTACTTCCCCAAACTGCAAGCCCTTACTTCATCTCTCACCGCCCACTCAGTTTCCTGAAAGTCCACCATCAGCTTCGATTCATCCAGAATCAAATGAATTACTGTAAAAGAAAGGATGGGAGCAGGGGAAGTGATAGAACTGTGAGGGTGGACCCATTCAATTACTCTTTGAGCTCACCGGAGAAAACAAAGGAGGCTCTTTGGTCGGAGAATACATAAGAATTTTCAAAAATCTCAAAAATAAAATAGAAGGGTAAAACAGTCATTTAATATCTTTTAGGGACCAACAACATAACAAAACCATAACATAGGGACTGTCTGAGTTAAAAATAAAAATTAGAGACCAACCGTGCAAATTATCCCAAACCACAGGGAACATTCAATTAATTTACTCTTTTTATCATTTTAAGTATATAAAATAGTTTTGGCATAACACTTCAAAATGAACCAATCAAAATGAAGAAGAAGACCACAAGATGCTGTTGCTTATTTTATCACAATATCAACTCTTTCTTCTTTCATCATCCTTTGAAGTTTTTTGCTCAGAAAATGATGTGGTCTGATTAATTCCCTCTCATACCCAGGAAATGTCAAATTCGTATTTATCCACATTCATCAAAGTCAAAGGTGGTCAATGATTGCTTTTGTGAAATCCGAGGTTTTTGAAGATCCACCAAGATCTGCTGTTCTGTACTTTCTTTTTGCTATTGTTTTCAACACAGCTTCTTGTATCCTATCCGCTTTATCATTAATCTTTAAGTGTCTAAGCATTGATACACCACTCAATAACAAAGCAGTTGGATTTGCCAAATTCTACACATTATAATACATGTTTATAAAATATAAACATATGATTTATAAAAACTAAAAAGTAGCTTTAAATTTAATTAATAACACTCTAACCTTTCCAGCTATATCTGGAGCTGAACCATGTACAGCTTCTGCAACAGCAATTCCTCCCTCCCCAATATTTAAACTGCAAATCATCAAATCATCATCTCAAATAAAAATAAAATAATAATTTATGAATAAGTCAAAAAGAAAAATCAGATAGATATATTATATACCTTGGTGTTAATCCTAATCCTCCAATTAATCCAGCACAAAGATCACTTATAATATCACCATAAAGATTAGGCATCACTAACACATCAAATAAAGCTGGATTCTTTACAAGCTACATAAACAAAATAACTTCATGAATCACAAGTCTTGTTATTATTATTATTATTGTATTTTTTTTTTCTTGATTATGAAAATTGATACCATCATACAGCAATTGTCAATGACAACTTCCTCATATGTTATATCAGGGTACTTCTCAGCAACCTCACGACAACACTACAGATTTTAAAAAAATAAATAACAAAGTTAGTGTAATGAAAATGGTAAAAGCTTAAGTTAATGTTTAATTAATACCTTTAGAAATAAGCCATCAGTTTTCTGCATGATGTTAGCTTTGTGTATAGCAGAAACTCTTTTTCTACCATGAGCTTTAGCATAATGAAAAGCATATTCAGCCACTCTTAAACTTGCATGACGTGTTATGATTTTAAGACTTTCAACAACTCCCCTAACAACCTACAAGAAAGATCAGAATTTGCATAACATTGATTTGAATGTATCATGTATGATATGAATGATGAATCTATATGAAGATGATATAAACTTACTTGATGTTCAAGACCACTGTATTCTCCTTCTGTGTTTTCACGGATTGTGATGAGATTTACATCATCATATCGAGTTTTGTAACCAGGTAGACTGTAACATGGTCTGACATTTGCATACAGGTTTAGTTCTTTTCTTAATGTGAGATTCAAGGAACGATGACCTTTTCCAATTGGTGTAGCCATGGGACCTTTTAATCCAACCTTGTTTCTTCTTACAGATTCTAGACTTTCCCATGTGACAAAGCTTTGGGTTCTGGGATCTACTTCTGTCCCTACGTAATGTTCTTCCCATTCAATTGGGACTTCTGCAGCATTGAATATCTGCATAACGAGAAAAGCAAATTCAACATACATACATAATTTGATTAGCGATTACTATTCTAAATTGAATCTATACCAAC